AGATAGATAGATAGATAGATAGATAGATAGATAGATAGATAGATAGATAGATAGATAGATAGATAGATGTGTGATTTTGAGGCCTGCCTAGGATATATAGCAAGACTCTGACTCAAACAAAAATCAAAACAAGTTTATCTATCTTGATAGGTGCCCCTATCAAGCAATTAGAAAGTATGCTAATAAAAAAAAGCTTGAAACTTTTTTAAACTTATATGTAGTAAGTCAGTTTGTCAACGTAAGGCCTATGACCAAATCCATCAAAAACGAGTTACTGTAAAATTTATCAGGACACAACTACTTGGCGTTCACTCTACTTTGCCTAAGACTTCTTATACACAATTGCAGATTAGAACAACACCAACAGTGGCCGTAAATGTTGTGCTGGCAGTTTTTATATCAATATGATAAAAGCTAGTTTCATCTGGGAAGAAGGAACACCAGTTGAGGAAATGCCTCCATCAGATTGGCCTGTGGGGATATCTGAGGCATTTTCTTAACTAGTGGTATAACAAGCTGGGCAAGCCATGGAAGCAAGGCAGCAAGCAATGTCCCTCCATGGTATCTTCTTCAGTTTCTGCCTATAGGTTCCTGCCCTGAGTTCCCTTCGTGATGAACTACAACTATAAGCTAAAACAAACCCCTTCCTCCTCAAGTCACTTTTGATGATAGTGGTTTTTTTTCATGGTGGTAAGAGTCTCTAACTAGCAAAATTGCTATGCAGCCAAGTACCTGCCCTTTACCTAATGTTTGCAGGTTCCTGTACAAAATAATACAGGAACCAAGCTTCAATAAATATATATGGGATTGATTAGAGTGCCTTGCAGGATGTGGTCCAGCTAGTCCAACAATGGCTGTCTACCCACAGAAAGCCCAAGAGTCCAGTAGTTGTTCAGTCCACAAGCCTGGATGTCTCAACAAGTCTTCAGTGTATGCCAGAATCCCAAAGTAGGCTCTCCTGCCAGTGAAGGAATGTACTTGCCAGCAAGAGCAAGCAAGCAAAGAGCAAAAGGCTCCTTCTTTTGTGTCCTGTATATTGGCCACCTCCAAAAGATGTGGACCATATAAAAAGTGGATCTTCCTACCCCAACAGATCCAGATTAAAAATGGGTCTTCCTGCTTCAAATGATTTAATTAAGAACAGTCTCTCAGAGCTGTACCCAGCTGCTTGGGTTTTAGTTCATTCCAGAGGTGGTCAAGTTGACAACCAAGCATAGCCATCACTGTTGAATGGGTTGTGATTTAATTAGCGTTCTTTCACAAACTCTCAAAGAGCAGCTGACTGCATGACCCCATTGTCAGCATTCCTCTCGATGGTGGGAAAGTTGGATACTTAAACAGATAAAGGCCAACCCTGAGAGAACACTGAGGAGTCTTCTGTTTGCTGTCTTCTTTTTTGCCATGGGTCAAAAAAGGACTGTGTCCTTGCCTCCTCTTTTGGAAAAATTCAGCCAATCCCATCTGGCTGTGTGGTTTTTAAGTAGTCCTCAGGGAGTTGCAGAAATACGGCTCTGCCCTGGTGCCTGTGTTTCACAGGCTGAGTGACCCACTGGGACTGAGTGGGGGAGGCCTGGCGTCACCTCAGATCCCCGCGGCCCTGAAGAACTGGCTAGCTTGCACTGCTGTACTTTCCTTTCACTGTTCTCTTAATGGAAATCACAGACTACCATCCTTACTTAAGAAGAACAGTTTCCTCTTTTGGAACCAAGAAAATGTCAGACAGAGGAAACAGCTAATGTGCTCAAGCCACGGTGATGAGATGACCTCATTTTATGTTAAAGGTTTCAAAAGATGAAATAATTTTTGGAACAGGAAGTAACTCAGATTCAGAGTATTTGATTAATAAGATATTTTAAATATTTCTCATGGGCATAGAGTCTTTTAACTATATTACCTATTTGCAACTAGATTAGCCAAATATAGACTATATTCTGCAGAGAGCAAATTCTAGGGGATGGAGAAATACAGAGTTCAAGACTCTCCCCCCCACACACACACTTCTATTTGTAGGTCATTCTTTTTATCTTAAAGTTTCTGTTAAAGATAGCAATAATATATGAAAATACTTGTATTAGAAAGTTAACATTTTCATAAGGACTGTGGGCCAGAGAAATGGCTCAGCTGTTAAGAGCATTTGCTGCTCTTGCAGATAATGTGGGTTTGGTTCCCAGCACCCACGTGGCAGCTCATCCATCCATAACTCCAATTACAGGACATCTGCCCATTTTCTGACCTCCTTGGACAACAGACATGCACATGGTACACATACAAACATGCAAACAAAAAGCCTCATACACATAAAATAAACCTTTAAACATGTAAATTCAAGATTATTTTTTATTCCAAACTAACCCTGAGCTGGATGCTTCGGGCACTCATGCATAATCTCAGAAAGTGTATGGTTCAGGCAGAGAGAAAGCCTAGCTGGGGAGGCAGAGGTAGATGGATCTCTGAATCCGATGCTAAGGTGGTCCACACAGAAAGTTGCAGGATAGCCAGGGTTACACAGAGAAACCCTGTCTCGATAAACAGAGGGGGCAGGGATTGATTCACTCACTCTTCAGTAACTCCCCTCTCATTCTCTGGTAAGTTTCTTAGTTGTGCAACGTTGCTGGTTCGTTTTAGGGTTTTGGTTTGTTTTTGTTTCTGTTTGTTTTTGTCACTTTGACAAAAGCTGGAGTCATCTGTGAAGAGGGAAACTCGAGGCAGGCCTGTGGCACATTTTCTGGATTAATGACTGATGTGGAAGGGCCCAGCCCTCTGTGAGCGTTGCTACCCCTGAACAGGCGGCCCGGGGAGGTGTAAGAAAGCAGGCTGAAAAAAAAAAAAAAAGAAAGCAGGCTGACCAGACTGTGGGAGCCAGCCAGTGAGCACTGCTCCCTGTGGCCTCTTCTGCAGTTCTTGCTTCAGTTCAGGTTTTGCTTGAATTCCTGCCCTGAACTCCCTCAGTAGTGGATTGTGAGTTATAAACTAGGAGTTTTAAGCTGGAAAAAAACCACCACCAACAACAAAAACCGTACCTCCCTAAGTTAGTTTTGGTCAACATTTTATTATGACAGAAACCTAAACTAGGACAACTGTCTACTCTGATGTTTCTGCAACCATTCTAGCTTTCCTTTTCACAAATATTTGTATGTTCTGTCTTCTATCCCTTTGAACTCACCTATGTTGTTATACTTTAAGTTTCTTACAGCCTGTGTGTGTGTGTGTGTGTGTGTGTGTGTGTGTGTAGAGAGAGTCATATTTTTAAAATCTATTCTATAAATCTTTGTCTTTAAATTGGTATGTTTACACCCCATTAAAAAAAAAAAGATTTACTTTTATTTCTGTATGTGGTTATGTGTGTATGTGCACTTGTGTGCCAGTGTTCTTGCAGGCCAGAAGAGGGCATCAGATCTCCTGGAGCTAGAGTTACAGATGGTAGTGAGCTACTGAATGTGGGTGTTTCAAAATGAACTTACATCTTCTGGAAGAACAGTAAGCATGATTAATATCTGAACCATCTCTTCAGCCTGTACACCATTTATTTGTAATATAATGATTGATATGTTGGAGTTTAAATCTGGCTTGGTTTTTGCTTTTGTTTTTGTTTTGTTTTGTTTTTTTCCTTTTTGTTTACTGTTTTTTACATCTATCTTCCTCCAGGTTACTTGAATGTGTTTGCTGGTCTCACTTTGTTTTATCTTTATTGTATAGTATATCTGTATATACTGCTATAGTGTTTCACTAGCATAGATAAGTGTGACCTCACTGCTGCTCAGTGGTATAGAAAGTTTAGCTCTATTTTTTTTCTTAACTTTAAAAAGTATACATAAATAGGAAACTGTTGCTCTTCCAGTACCATCCCAGGGGGGTGGAAAACACAACTTTCTCACGCTATTGTAACTTAAAGTTAAGGCTCTCAGGATGTTTCTGTTGGTGCTGCAGAAGTAGATGAGGGGCAAACCCATGTCTAGGCAAAACTCCCATCTCCTTGATCGTCTCTAAAAACGCCCCTGTGGCAGGTAGAGGGAAATTGAAGGCATCCTTATAACCTACGTAGGTTAGAGTCTAGGCCTTTGGAGATAGGGGTGGGGAATACCATTTTTCTGTAGTAGTTAGCTAGTGTAAAAGTTTGCAATTGTTCGAGGTTTATCCTCTAGGGAGGGGGGCTAGTTATACTGGCCAAGCACACAGAGTCTCCTTTCAAAAACTAAGCCCCAATCTCTAGACGCTGTACCATTCACACAGCCCTCTGCCCCACCCCTGCTCAGCAAGGTGTCTCTTTTTAGTCCTGGCTGTTCTGGAGTTTGATGTGTAGTGTGGACCAGGCTGGCCTCAAATTCATAGAGATCCTTCTTCCTCTGCCTCCTGAGTGCTAGGATTAAATGCATGCACACCCTACCCTAACCCAAGCCATTTTCTAATCACACCGTCAGGGCCCAAACTATGACACATCACTGACTGTTTCCTAATGTTAGGTGATCATTAGTCTTTCAGGTTATAAACAAGACCAGCATCTGAATGCTTACATCAGTCTCCAACTTGGATAATATCCATTAAAGTTAACTCCTAGAGAAAGAATTTTGAAGTCAAGAGATTAAACCTTTCAGCCAGTCCTACCATGGATCCACTCAATGGGAGAGGCACCCTTTAACTTTTGAACTTTGTAATTTTTTTCAGGACTATCAGGTGGTGAGGAAGGAGGAGACACGGAAATGACGCAGCAGGACACAGCTCACGACACAGCTCCGGTTCCTGAGCCACGAAAGAAAGCCAAACAGGTGATGGTCACTGAGCGTCACAGCTCTTGCTCTGAAGTCAACCTCTAGCCACTCTTGACCCTAACGACAGCTGTTGCTGGGACTGGGGAAGTTTTTACTTTCTTTGTTCATGAAAAAGCCATGTTTCCTAACTGTATACCAGTGAAGCTTGTTTTCCCCAACATTTTTTATATTTTACTAGGGAAAAAAATATGTATTTCAGGGGCTGGAGAGATGTCTCAGTGATTAAGAACACTTGGTCTTGCAGTGGAGCTGGTTGAGTTTCCAGCACTCACGTGGTGATTCACAGCCACCCATACCTGCGGCTCCCACCGAACAAGGGCACCAGGCATGCACAGGGAGCACATCTAGACATACAGGCAAACACCGGAACAGATCAATTTAAGAAAATGTGTATCACAATTATGCTGACCTAGGATTTTATATCACAGTCCCATTAAAAATTCGGCCTTTTTCACAGTATAGGGAGATGACCCTGCACACACACAGTCCCACTTGGTATCTCCATGACACTGCAGTGTACAGAGAACCCTTGGGGCCTTGAGACCTCGTCTCCCCTCTCAGACCTGTTCACTCTTAGGGCCTGTGAGTTCCACAATTATAGTTTTTTTCATTATTTATTTTTTTATTATTATCAGTTACATTTTATTAACTTTGTATCCCAGCTGTATCCCACTCCCTCATTCCCTCCCTCATCTCCTCCCTGCCCCTTTCCAAGTCCACTGATAAGGGAGGACCTCCTCCCCTTTCATCTGACCCCGTTTTATCAGGTATCTTCAGGACTGGCTGCAAAGTCCTCCTCTATGACCTAACAGGGCTGCTCCTCCCTTGGCGGGGGGGAGGTCAAAGAGCCTGCCATTGAGTTCCTGTCAGAAATAGTCCCTGTTCCCCTTACTAGAGAACCCACTTGGATAATGAGCTACCATGGGCTACATCCGAGCAGAGGCTCTAGGTTATATCCATACATCGTCCTTGGTTGGAGAAACATTCTCATAAAAGACCCCTGTGCCCTGATACATTTGCTCCTTGTGGAGCTCCTGTCCTCTCCAGGTCATATTAATTTCCCCTTCTTTCATATGATTCCCTGCACTCTGCCGAAGGTTTGGTTATGAGTCTCAGCATCTGCTTTGATACACTGCTAGGTAGAGTCTTTCAGAGGCCCTCTGTGGTAGACTCCTGTCCTGTTCCTTGTTTTCTCCTACATCAATCGTATGCTGCAATCTCATGGCACCCCTTCATTCACAGGCTGCACACTTCCTTCCCAGTACCCGCTACCTGGCTTGATTATCCCAGGGGCTGCGGTGGTGATACAGTGCCTCTGTCAGAGTGTCTCTTACAGAGTAGCCTAATACAACCTCACAATGCCTCTGCCACTCAAATTACTTCACACACACATTGTATCATCTCCCAGCCAAGATGAGAAAGTATAGCGCAACCAGGTATTCTGAGAGAAAGACCACACTTACATAACCATTTAATTTTGTTGTTATTTTAATCTAACTGTGCCTAGTTTACAAATTAATCTTTACTCTGAGTATACACAATTTAAAAATTAAAAAACAACAACAACAAGTATATCCTAAGTTTGGTACTACCGTGTAGCCCTTTAATTTTGAAGGATAACTTTTCTGGATACAGTAATCTAGATTGACAAGTGCATTCCTTCAGGACTTCACCGTACCATTCAATGCCATGCTTGATTTTAGAGTTTCTACTTAAAAATCTTCTGTGCTCTAATGGACTGCTCTTCATAAGAGTTTGAGCTCTTTATCTCATTGTTCTCTGCTGCTGCTGTTGGTCAGTACTTGGTATGCTAGTGATACTATGATGAAGTTTGCTTTCTAGTCCGAACTGAAAGTTTGAGAGTTTTCAAAAAGCTGCCTATACCTGGGTATCCATCTCTTTCCCAAGATTTAGAGAAATTTCGCTTTCTACATGTCTGTCATGACCTTCTCCTTTTTCTGTACTAATGGCATCCAGGGGACTTTTTTTCTGTATTGCTGTGTGAATGCTTAGATTCATCTACCTTAACCCCTGACAGTCTGCCTTCCACTTGATCTCATCTACTTGTGAGACTTTCCTGAGTTATTTGACCTATTCAGCTTTCACTTTCAAATTTCTGATATTTTTCAGAATCTCTTTATTGAATTACTCTTTAATATCCTTCATTATCGTTCTTGTTTCATTCAGATGTTTATTTGTGTTCTCTTTGAATTTATGTCATCCTTAAAATCATAGTTTGAGCTTTATCTAGACTCTCTTCCACTTTGCTATTGGTGGGCCTTCAATCCAGTCAGAAAGCTGGTTAGACCCACAGTAGTCATGCCATTTGGTTTGGCAAACAGCAATAGCAATAGTCTTGTGGGTTTTGGAACGTCAGGGAGCCATCCTGGCCACCAGCTGGTGCGAAGGTAGCCTACCCTTGGTACAGGCTTTTCAATTAACAACCTTTTGGCTTCTGGGAATGCTCTTTTTCGTCCATGCAAGGTGCCTCCTGTACTTAAACTCTTTAGTTGTTATTTTAACAATGGATTTTTTTCCTTCAACTAACTAAGCCCCAATAGAGTTGCCAGGTAAGTGGTAGTACCATTGTACCTGGTTGTCTCTGGCCCACTTCTGTACAGCAGTGTTTGTGAAATGGCCACTCCTATCATTGTCAGTTCTCCATGTGTGCCCGTACATAACATTAAATTGGGTGAAATCTTTGGTGGCAACTTCACTTGCTGCTCACGCACACAGAAATGCTTGTAAAAGGCCAATGACAGAATCCACACAGGTAAGGGAATATTTCTGTCCTTAGCTGACAACAGGTATAGGTACTATTTAGTCTGCTTGCTAGTCTTTTATGGGGAAGGTTGTCTTGTGTATGTGTCCTCATGGCATCCACTCACAAGGCCGCAATAAGAACAGGCCTCACCAGGGCCTCAGAATATCTTATAGAAATGTCAGGGGCTTTAGCAATTTCCCATCTGTAGTGGTTTGAATATGAATGGTCCCCCTAGGCTCATACACTTGAATGCCTAGTCATAAGGAAATGGCAGTATTTGAGAAGTATTAGGAGATGTGGCCTTGTTGGAGGAAGTGTGTCTGTGGAGATGAGCACTGAGATTTCAAAAGCCCAAACCAGGCTCAGACTCTGTCTCTGTCTCTCTACTCCCTACTCCTCTCTCTCTCTCTCTCTCTCTCTCTCTCTCTCTCTCTCTCTCCTTTCTCTCTCTCTCTCTTTCCCTGTCTATCTATCTCTATCCTCCTATCTATCCATCTCCCTCCTCTTTCTCTTTGTCTGTCTCTGTCTCTATCTCTTGCATTCCCGCCCTGCCTGCCTACAGATCAGGATACAGCTTTCAACTACTGCTCCAGCACCTGCCTGGCTGAGGCCATGTTTCCCACCATGGTGATAATGGACTAAACCTCTGAAACTGTAAGCCAGCCCCCAATTAAGAGTTGCCTTGATCATGGTGTCCCTTCACAGCAATAGAACAGTGACTATGACTCCAGTCCCACGTTGGCTCTCCTGTAGCCAGACTTTACCTGAGCCTCACAAGCAGCCTCTCCTGGCAACTGTAGGCAGATGGCTCATACTTTGTAAGGGCATCTGCTTCCTGGTTTCCAGGAAGAATCAATGAGCTATTGGCTTCCATATGGAAAACTGTTAGGGGTTCTGATTCCTGTTAAACTTTGTTATATATTTTCTTTTACATCTGTTATTCCTATGGTGGCCAGTTCAGAACCTGCTAGTTCTCTCTTTCCCATTGTGTAATCTGTAAATTGAAGTCTCTAATTACAGTCTTAACAGCAGTATGGATTATCCCAGGCCAGCTCTCAGGAATCGCTACTACCCCTACTGTTCTACAGTCAGCATGCTGGCTACTTCATCTTCTTGTCTCTCTAGCCATGTAGTATCTGTGATCACTTGTATTGCTATAGCCACTCATTCCTATTTTGTGCTCCTACTCATACAGTCCACGTAACTGGCATCCGCAGAGATGAATGATCTCCTTTCTCACACTCTGTGTAGCTTAGCTCTTTGTTCAATTATCAGAGGAAACTCTGTGGCTTGAAAGGATTCTGGTCCCAAGACAACCTGAATGGCATTGATGGCAGAGCTACTAGACACTACGCCACATTACTCTAAATATGCATGTCACCGTTGTACAATTGATTCTGTGCCATCTCAGAAAAAGCCTTTGCCACTCCTTACTTGGATAAGCAGTTTTTCTTGTTACTGAGGTGGGGCCAGTGGTGGATTCTACCTGTTGTAGTGTTTTATATACAGCCAGCAGTTGCTTTTCTAGCATTGTATATTGAACTTCTGCTCCATCCATGAGATGAGAACACTGTTGGAACCATTTGCTCTGGTTGTTTTGCCATAGCCCTCCCATGTAGCTCTTTGAGATTCTCGTAACCTCACATGAAAGGACAGTGGCAATCGGACAGACAGATGTTTGCCTATCCTATACGGATCTTAACCTGCTCAGAAGCCTCTTGAGCCTTTTTTATCACAATTTCATATAGCATCCCTATTTATCAAGTTTTCAGAGAATGGGAATTTGGGCAAGAAGGGGTATGAAGTATTTCACAAGCCCAAGAGATTCAGTTCTTTTAGATTTACAGGCACAAGATGTTGTAAGACTTTTCTTCTAGTAATTTTGTCGGGGATCATATCATATATCATATCATATCATATCATATCATATCATATCATATCATATCATATCATATCATATCATAGGATAGTAATCCCCAAAATTTCACAGCCGGGCCTGGCCTTTGCACCTGGTGTAGATTCATCTGCCAGTCTTTTAGGGACACCTACATCCTTTAAATGCCATTCTAAACCTGTGAAATACTCAAAGGTTAGCATTAAGTCATTGCCTTAGTTACTTTTCTGTTGCTGTGATAAAACTCTATGACCAAAGCAATTTATAGAAGAATGGGAAACGTTGGTAAGCCCCACGCTCTGTTGCTTTCCCTTGCCAGATTTCCTCATCTGTCCAGAGAATAGCTCATTGTGTAGACAGGAAGGACCAGGGAAAGGAAGCAGTAATGGGAGGTTTGTTAAGTTTCCAGGGTAGGAGATTAGAACTGAGTGGGAGTGGGGAGGGGAGGCTGTTTCTGTAGCCGTAAGCTTCCTTGGATCTCTTTCTTTTCACCCCTTCAGGTGCTGGGCTTTTTCACAGTCCCATCAGGTCAGCCTGTTAGTTTCCACCTCCGTCCACCCTGAACCACTTGCCGTTTTGCCCATTTTCATTTTCTCCATTTTCCAAAATATGGTTGAAATCCTTTCCCCAAAGTTGTCCTTCCTGGCGTCTTGGTCTTTATCGATGTTTGCCTTTTCAGTCCTCTTCGTTTTGCAGTCAGTTTGCCATTGGAAGCAATTCAATCATCCCAGCACATCGGGCCAGTTAGGACTGAGCACATCCACTACCACGGTGGCCTGCCAGGCAGCCCCGCTTGGAGAAGTGATCCAAAAGCGTTCAAGAGAGTCCTCGACAAAGACAGCCCCCTCTTCCCTTACGAGGGAACCGACATGAAGACCAAGCTACCCATATGTAGGTGGCCTAGGTCCAGTCCATACATGGTCCTTGCTTGGTGTTTCAGTCTCCGGCAAGCCCCCCAGGGTCCAGGTTATTTGGCTCTGTTAGTCTTCTTGTAGAGTTCCTGTCCCCTCCAGGTCTTTCTGTCCTTCCTCCCATTCTTCCACAAAGCTCCCTGTGCTCTGCCCAATGTTTGGCTGTGGTTCTCTGCATCTGTTTAAATCTGATGCTGGGTGGGGCCCAGTGCAATGTTAAAGAGACTCATCATGCAGATCTATCTGTTGAGACAGGATTTTACTGAGTGTCTGGCTGGCCACGGACTCATTATGCAGATTAAACTGGCCTGAGTTCAGGAGAGCCACAGTCTGTGCCCTCTGCCTCTACCGTAATTAAAGAAATGTGCCACTATACCTGGCAGGAACGTGTTTTGTTTGTTTGCTTTGTTTTCCAGTCTGATTGAGATTCAAGAACTGCACTTTTACTTTTAACTCCAGAACTGAAGAGCCTGAACTCTTAATAAGTGAGCTCAATTTTAGATTTAACTTAATTCATGTGTGAATTAATCAGCTTTTAAACCTAATAATGTGTAATCAGCATGTTAAACCTTATAGGGCAGTGCTTCTCAACCTGTGGGTCATGACCCCTTTAAACAACCTTTTCACAGGGGTCACCTAAGACCATCAGAAAACACAGATCTTTACATTACGGTTCAAAACAGTTGCACAGTTATAGTTAGGAAGTAGCAACGGAATAATGTTAGGGTTGGGGGTCACCACAATGTGAGGTTCACAGCACTGGAAAGGCTGAGAACCACCAGTCTAGAGAAGAGCCCCATATGCTGAATAAGAGTCCATGATAGATACCTAAGTCTGCTGCCCCAGAACCTTGATAATGGCTAACAAATACCAGATTGGGGCGAGGGGGGAGGGAGGCAGTGTTGGTTTGGTTGTTATTGTTGTTGTTTTGAGATTCTGTGTGTGTGTGTGTGTGTGTGTGTGAGAGAGAGAGAGAGAGAGAGAGCAAGATCTGGAACTTACTGTGTACTGTTAGGTCTCAAACCCAGGACAGATCTCACTCAGAACCTGTGTTTCCTCCCAGGACTTCTCACTCCACCCCCTACCCTAAACATCTCTCTCTCTCTCAGGCTTCCCTTCTCCCAGCCTAACCCCCATGTGACTCAAGTTGTTTTGGCCACACTGGTCTCTGACCTGTGCTGGTTCTCTCTGTCAGCTGTTCCTCTCTTGCTCTCCCTCTCCCTCTCACCTTTCGTGGTCCAGTTAATCTGTTGGCCATGTTCAGCCTAGACTCTTCCCCCTGTCTGCTTGCTTCCTTCTTTTTAGAATAAGTGTTTCCACACTGTAGAAGTAGTCATTTCCGCCTCCTTTTATTTCATTTTTTCCTTCACTATAATGGTAATCACTCATGGTAATCTTCCTGCCTCGGCCTCTCAAATACTGGTGTCATAGGTCCATTATATGCTTCAAGGGCTCTGGTAATCACATCCACTCCTGTGCCTTAGAAGGGAGCACTCAATGTATAATGAGATGCTTATGGCAATCTGGCATCTTCTCTGATGTATTGTGGCCTTGGCCCAGTTTCTTATTGGCATGTACAAAATTAAATTGACGTAAATCTACATCCACAAGACAGCTTTACTTTCTAAGTCAAAGAGACAATATCTTTATTTTCTTCAGCTGCAAGGCAATTGATCTTTATAGGTTTTTTGTTTAAACTGTAAAGAAGCTAAAGATGAAAGATCCCCATGTTATTTTAATCTCAACCCTTTCCAATCTACTGTGCTTCTTAAGGCCATGGCCAAATATTGCCGTCATTGGCCCAGTGTCTTAAAGAAGTTACAGACCATTACATCCCCTTTTTGAGTTGGGGCCATTGGAATTCCTAAAATTCAATTTTTTTTCTTTTCTTTCTTTTTTGTTGTTGTTGTAGTTTGAGATAGGGTCTCACTATATTGCTCTGCTCTCCTGGAACTCACTATATAGAACAAGCCAGTCTCAGTCTCACAGAGAACTATCTGCCTTTGCTTCTCATGCCGGGATTAAAGGTGTGAGCCACCACACCCAGCTTTAATCGGCTCTTTTTTTCTTAGAAGGATTCCTCTTTGATCATTTTGAACAGAACAGTAGAGACGTGGGTGCTCTTTGCTGGTGGCTGACTGCTTAAGCCGATATCCTCTACTTGGAATGAATCTAACTTCCTACATCCATTTTACGTCTTCCTTGGCAACCTGTTTGAAATGTTGCATAAACATCCAGACAGGAAACATTTTATTTTGCTGCCTATGATAAATACTTGTGGAACCTGCACATTCCATTTTATAAATCAAAGTTTTGGCCCAATGTTCCTGCTTTTCTACCTTAAAAAAAAATAAAAATAAAAAAAAAAAACTCACATTAAAAATAGCATGAAGCTATATAGGGTTCTTGGGGTTCAAGGCCACTGGCAAAATAAATCACTTTTGGTGCTATAGTGCAGATGGTTTTTTAGACCATCAACGGGAACATTCATTCTGTAGTCATCTTTAAATGACTGCATGGGTGCAGCTGGTTTTGTCAAAACGGGAGTAAATACATCCTGCTTTGGATTTTCTGTGCCTGTTGAAAGAGGGGAGGAGTGGGTACCACAGGCAATGCCACTTGGTTTCCGCATGCTCAGCTCATGGAAAGCTTCAGTCCCTCTGGTCGACGACTGCCCTGCCACATCATCATTTTAAGCACATTTATTTCTGCCTGCATTTTACCAACGAGCCCTTGGCTTCCGTCTCTAATAATCTGCACACATCAGGCACACACATACACTCTCACTCACTCACTCACACATTTTGATCTCTGTTCAAAGATTTTTCCAGTCTTAGGTCATCTGTACTTTCTGACTTTCTCGAATTCTGTCACCTCAGCTGCTGCATAACAGCTCCAGGGGGTCTTCCCGCATCTCTGTGGAATGTTACCAAGATACTCTAAGGGGTATGTGCACAGCAGAAATGCTCTGGGGTTCATACCATTCAATGACACTTCATCCTGCAAAGATGAAAGTTTTCTCATTTATATTTCCTTTCAGCCTACCGAGTGTTTCTTGACACAACCAAAGGAAACAAAAGAGGGTCCCCAGAAGACCAAGAAGTGGAAAAAGGTACCAGCAACAGTTTGTTACAGTGGTGTGGCTTCCATGACAGTTTTACATATCATACTTATGAGAAGCTATTGCGCTCCCTGACTTGGAGATCTAGAAGTTGTGAGATTCGGTGAGATCTCTTAACTTTCCGAAGGTCACGAGGAATTTGTTTTCTCTGAGGAATTAAAATTAAACTTTTCTGACTCCCACTTTACTCTTATGAAACACCAGACAGCTTTCTTACCTGCTGAGTTTTCACTGTGACATCATACACGGTTTCTAATCTAGAAGGATCGAGGCACTTCCCTTATAGTCACCCCTATGCTTTTATGCAAGAAAATCAATTACCAACCTCCTTCTCTTAGTCATTCCAGCTTTTAAACCTTATCCGCTAAAGTAATAACAAAAAGATAACAAGCGGATGAAGGCACCATGAAGTATTTCTAACTCTAATCCAGGCCAGGATTTAAAGCAAATGCTCCCCCTTCCTCTTAAAATAATGTCTCTATGCACAGAGAAGACTCCTGTTCCTGTAAAGACATTTTTTACAGGTCAGCTGTAGAAAAAAAAAAATGTACTTAGTTTTCCCCTTCACTTCCACGGTTGTAAGAACAGTGTTGTTCGCACCCTGCCAGCCAGTGTCTACTACTGAAGTCAGCAGAGGAAATGGTTGAGATGAGAGAAAAGAACAGGGTCTCAGCCATTTAGCTATTTAACTGCAAACATTCAGAAAGGAGCGCACATACATGTTTTCTTTTCTCACAAATGGCCAAATAGGAAAGCAGGATGTGCCAGATTGGCTCTGGTTTGGCAAGTCCTTAACTTTGACAATTCACTTATTTGGAGCCTTGGGGAACCTTAGGTTCCAGAGGTTCAAGGTCAGATCTCTAGCTAGTTTAGCTTGGCTGAGGTTGTGCCAATTTATGCCCATGGTGACATTGTTACATTGATACTTTTGATGGAACCTTGAGTAGTTCTGACATTGTTGTAGAAATGAGAATATTGGGGGTGGGGGAATGGGGAGGAATGGCCCTTGCTGGGTCTTCGGAGAAATGCTACAAGGAAATAATGGAAGTTTATGACAAAAAATGGGCAGTCATGCTTCCCTGTGTTGCATGCATTTAATGAAAGTTCTGTACAAAGAAGTCCACATCAAAAGAGATGAAAGTATTTCTTGTGACGTCTGTTCTGGTGTATCTGTGGCCTTAGGATTGTCTCCTAGACCAGGAGAGTCAGTAGGTCAGGTGTACTTTTCAGTTAATGCCTGTACTCAGAAGTCCGTTTGGTGGCTTACCACCTAAGCCAGGTTGCACAAGAAGTTCTCAACTCTTGCTCTTTCAAGAGTACAGATCGTAAGCCCGGCACGGTGGCACACAGCCAGTACTCCCAGTACTCAGGGAAGCAGAGGCAGATCTGCCTATAATCTCTGTGAGTTCAAGACAGCCTGGTCTACAAAGTGAGTCCAGGACAGTCAAGGCTACACAGAAAAACCCTGTCTCAAAAAAAAAAAAAAAAAAAAAAAAAAAAAAAAAAAAAAAAAAAAAAAAGAAAAAAAAAAAAAAAAAAAAAAAAAAAAAAAAAAAAAAAAAAAAAAAACCAGAAAAAGAGTACAGATTGTTTAGGATTAAAAGAGAAGTTTCCTTAGAACAAGACTTCTAAGACTTTTAACAGAAAAATACCCTATCATTGAGCTGAATGCAAAAATTTCATTTCTAAAAGATACACACCAGACATTACAAGGAGCCTTTTACATCATCTCTTCATTTTTCAAACACTCACTCTAAGAAGTATGCAGTAAGGTTTCCCAAAGGTATTTTTTTTTTAAACTCGAATTCATACTCAGCTTCCACCAAAAAACTGAGTGCCGTCTACAAGCCAGAGAAATGCACCTATACCACACACCATTCTAAAATCTACCATTCTGCCTTTTTTTTTTTTCTTCTCTTGTTTTAGAAGAAAATTTCTGATATTCTTGCAAAATCAGAGCCCAAACCAGGAACCCCTGAAGACCTTCAGAAGCTTATCAAGGACCATTTCAGCAACAGTCGGTCTGTGATTGAGCTAGAAGAGCTGCAGCTGCCAGGTACAGCCAAGCTTCAGTTTTCCTAGGGAGGGAAACAGGTTCATCCTTTCTGTACTGTTTTATAGTTAGGTATGTCCACCAGTGAAAGTTTATACATCTCCATGTTCTCAATCCTCTTTCTTCCAGCTAATAGTTTTTTTTTTAACTTTTAGTGATTTATTTTAGATACTAAAAAGGTATTTACTGAATTGAATACTAAGATTTGTGCATGTACTTTCTCGTTTACTGAAAATTGTTTAGTACACAATCTTATCAGACTCGTTAAGGAGTAAATGTCTCTGATGAAGATAGATATTAAACTCATATAATGACACTTGGCACAATACTAAAAGTATTGGTGCGGAACTTTGTTGACCCTTCCTATAAATAAGAACTTTAGTCTTAGTAAGCCTGTTAAGCTAGGTCCTGAATCCCAAAACTCAGGAGACTGAGGCAGAAGGATCACAGCAAGTTTGAATACAGCCTGGGCTATAAATACCTCAAAAATAAAATACAAAGATTTTTTTGTTCGTTTGTCTGTTTGTTTTTAGTAAGCATTTTAGCTTTATTGTCGTGATGGTCGTGATTTCAGTTGCACAGTTCTATTCGGGTTGTGTCCCTGACTCTTCCATTTTTGGCCAATAGCCAAAATGACAGAATATGGTGACGGAATTCTGCATTTTCAGAGAAGCAGCCATAGTTTCAGGCCTGCTACTGGTACTCAGAAATTAGACGACACTGCAAACGTAAAGTCGCTACTGAGCTTTTAGGTTATGATGCATCCATGAGACTCCTTCCTGGGCAAAGCTAGGAGAAAACAGATGTTATCCCGAAAGCAAACCATAAGGAGCTTTACCATCTCTGCTGCACACACACTATTTCCAGACTATGGGGCACAGCTAGCACTACTTTGGGAAAGAGTCAACAGTAGCAACTTTCCATTACAGCTTTATGCTTTCAAGAAGCCTGAGAAGCTGAAGAACGGCCTGTTCCCTGCATAGTTACAATTCTTCTGGGATATTTTTTAAGTGCTCTGTGGGGTTAGCAGCAGGAGTGCCTCCATGTGTTCTTTTCCGAGACAGTTGCCCTTCAGGGAACTGGAGTCATGCACTTGGATGCAAACAGGACCTGGAATCCAAAGTTTACTGAGCCCAGAGGGCTGCTCTTCGGGTGAGAGCTGTGTCCTGGCTGCTCTATGGCAGGAACCAAGGGTGTCACAAGCTGAGGCTGATGTGTAGTTTTTACAGTGACTTAGGTTCCTCTTCTAGTTCTCCATTAGCATATAACCTGAGTGCTGGAAGGATTTGTGAAGGACATACTTCTACTCTGTGACCTCAGAGAACATCACAAACCTTGATTCTCTGCAGAGCTAAAGGTTAAAAGAAACCCTTGGGATTCAGTGGAATTCCATAATAAGTTTATGTTATATTACTGTTTTATTAAAGCTCTATAATGCCCCTAGGTAAGACCATGGACTCAATGCATTTTGTTTTTAGGAAGGAATTGTATGAGAAACAGCCTTTATTTTTAGTTAAGAGATAACCATTCTGAGACATAGTCAACTAAGACATCATAGACAGTTTTGTAGAAAAGCTCTGGACACCACATGAAGACCAAAACCAGCTTTCAGGGGCCATGCTAGGTAAAGAAATAGGAGATGCCATTTGTTGTTTGGAATCGACTAAAGAAGAGGTGTAAATAATACTGTGGTGTTCCTAGTCGTTTGTCAAGTGTCTGAGTTGATTTTAATCTGAAGTTTTTATGTCTGAAGGGCAGAAATATGTCCTATTAATTACTATCAATTGTCCTATACACTGATAGCATCTTATATGTGGGAACTTAATTAGGCATTTCCAAACAAAAGACACTGGGAGCCAATAGGCCTCTGTAATCTCCTGAGAGCTGGTTGGTTTAGATCAGTGACCCTCACTGCAGCCAACCCTCCCATGAATCTCAAAAGCAACACAAGCCACCTTCAAGGGATTCAACTCAGTGTACTCAGTAGAGTCCATTTCTGCTCTCCCAATTTTGTGAGAAGCTCTCCTGAGGAATCTGATCATGTCTTAGCTGGGAGAACTGTGATTTTAAAGGCCATCAAGGGCTCTCTTCCTCTACTGAGGCAACGATTTTGAAAGTATAATATAATGTAATATGAGTTATATGTATTGGGTCATAATATAAATGTCAACTTTAATTTCATAATAATTCACTCCCTAACACTTATATTTACACAGGAAGTTTTTCTCATAGAAAGAATTAAGTTGATAAGCATTACATTACTTTTTTTATATATGTATCCCAGGCTCAGAGTGAATAATTCTACTCAGAGTTAATATTGTTACATATTCCATGGCTGTCATTGATCAACAAAGGCCCTTTTTTTATTTTAAGGTGCTATGTTGTGTTTTACAGCTAGGCTGAACTGTGTTATATTTTGATACAGTATCCCCATTCTTTTCAAATTGATATTATATTTCCTTTCCCCATAAGTATTTACTCTAAATAGCTGCTATATGTTTTTATGTATGTATATACATTTTTATTTTTATCTAAATTACATTTGCAGATCTTCTCATTCTGTTCTTTTTTTTTTTTTTTTTCACATCACACTTTTTTCCAGCTATGCCAGATGTGGCTTTGTGTACATCTGAGTCATTTATTTGAGATGCTACAAAGTGTTCCAGTTCTTTGATCTGTCACAAAGCACTCATCCATTTCCCCAGATGTGGACACCTGTATGGCTTCCCACATCTCAAGATCATAAATATTGCCAAATTAATCTTTTTTATGTAACCATTTACAGCACACACAAAAATTTCTTTCCATTGTCTACCCAGAAAATAAAATAGGATTATATACAGAGTTATAATCTTTAAATTATTACTTTCCAAAATAGGTTTACCAGTTGACAGTTCTACCTGCAGTTGGCAAATGTTACTGTCACCCCACATTCTCCGTAACTCTTATTGTTGTACATCTTTCTAATATTTGCCATTCTGCTGACTGATCCCTCACTGCTGTGTCAGTTTCCTCTTCTGGGTAACTAATGGGTCTGAGGTTCTCTCATAAATGTCTTGGCCACTTCATGTTGCCTTTGCATATTGCCTCATTCATGGATTTCAAATGTAAAGATACTTCATCTCTCTTCCTATCATCTCTCATGATACATAAAACTTTTGTTTCACTACTCTAAAAGAGTTAGAAGTGCCTATCCCAGGGATGAGCCTCGGTTTTCCAATACAAAGTGGCCCTATGTACATAAAAAACAACAAAAACATGCCCAATGAGTTGTATTTATGTATCTGTGCATATATATATGTATCAGTAAAAATAAAAAAGAGGCTATCCGTTTAAGAATGGGGACCATGGGAAGGGAAACTGGAGGAACAAAAATGGTGGGAGAAGGGGTCAGGTAATTATATTTTCAGTAAAAATGCAAAAGTATAAATAAAATATTTTAAATGAAAAAAATTAAATCTGTTATTGTTGCTGCTATTATTTTAAATAACATTTAAAATAATGAACCTCCAAGACCTGTTTTATATAACTCATTCAAGAATGCATCATTCACATTTAATCTGTTTTGCTTGTATGCTTACAAAGCTCTTAGCAAACTGTGTTTCTCATATTTCTAGACTCCTGTTTCCTCAAGGCTAATGACTTGACTCATAGTCTCTCTTCATACCTAAAAGAAAGTAAGTGAAGTATAATTTTTAAAAAATTTCTCTGCTCTTTGATCATCACCCCCTGAGGGGGGAGCAGCCTTACCAGGCCACAGAAGATGACAGTGCAGCCACTCCTGATGAGATCTGATAGACTAAGATCAGAAGGAAGGAGAGGAGGACCTCCCCTATCAGTGGACTTGGGGAGGGGCATGCGTAAAGAAGGAGGTGGGTGGGTGGGGTCTGGAGGGGAGGAGGGAGGGGCTTATGGGAGGATACAAAGTGAATAAAGTGTAATTAATAATAAAAAAAAATTGCTCAAGAGGTGGTTATTCCACAACAGAAAAGGTTTGAAGTCAGGTGTGTCAATACCCCCCCAGTAATCCCAGCATGCTCAGGGAACTGAAACAGGAAGATCAACACTTGTTTAAGACTTAGCCTGAGCTATGTAGGGAAACTTAAAATCCCAAAATAAATAAATAAGGTTTGCCTCTAAATTAAAAAAAAAAAAAAAAAAAAAAAAAAAACATTAAAAGTTTCTAGCTTAAGTGGAGTGCAATTTAGTGCTAGTATTTTTTTTCCTCAGTTATCCAGGAAGCTTCGAACTCATAACTCCCCTGCCTCAGCTTCTCACGTGCTGAGATTATAGGCCACATTATTTGGTGTACAGTCTTAATGTTTAAATGTATTCCTGTTCTGCTGTGTGAATTTGAGTCTGGGCCCTGTCTGATATAGCATATTAGATATATTTATGGAGGAATCTAGAAAGTAGTGTCCCAGCCCAGAGCCTCCCCTCTGTGGCAGTGGGGGAGGGGGAGTCCTCTGAATAATCCATGAACTTGACCTTGTCTGAAAGATCAGGAAACTGAACCTCATGATCTTTAACAGCTGTGAGAGCTTCACATTCTGTTTACATGTTCAGAACTCAGACCTAGCAATTACAGCCAATCTGATTGGATATTTTAGTTTGTGTTGTGTGTTGCTAGAAAAGGATAGATTATTCATATCAAAGTATCATTTGCTTGGTTTCAGCAATGAAGAGACTTACAGAGAGAGATTTGACATTCTTCTTTCAGCCTTTCAATGTTATAATGATGCCCAGTTCTGGCTCATTAAACATTTCTCAGAATTTAACTTCACAAATATAAACCTGGATTGTCAGAGGAATAATATCCCAACATAAAAACTTTAAAAATATTAAAATTCTAAGCCTCTTTATTAAATATAGTAATAAATATTGTCAGCTCCATTTTAGTTCATGCCGTATATCTCTTTAAAAGCTAACTTAGCCTGAGTGTGATAGCTCCTGCCTCTAATTCCAGGCAGATGGATTTCTATGAGTTCTAGGCCAGTTAGGGCTACACAGTGAAACCCTGTCCTTAAACAAACAAAAAAGCTAAGCTAAATTAAAACCTATAGTTTTAGGCTTAGGATTTTCCATGATTGAACCAGAATTATTCTGTTAGTCAACATTGTCTTCAAACAGTAAACATAATTTTTAATCTGCTATGTAAAATAGTAAAACATGTAACAACAATCAGTGTTTGTTATTTTCTTAAGCTCCAGCAAATGAACAGTTGGAGAACAGCCACCACTGGCAGCGCTATTTTGCTGCCTTAAGAATGGTTTTTGTATCTGAAGAGGGAGAAAACAGGGAACAGGACAGGAGCCTACCACAGAGGGCCTCTGAAAGACTCTACCCAGCAGGGTATCAAAGCAGATGCTGAGACTCACAACCAAACTTTGGGCAGAGTGCAGAGAATCTTATGAAAGAAAGGGGAGATAGAAAGACCTGGAGGGGGCAGGAGCTCCACAAGGAGAGCAGCAGAACCAAGATATCTGGACCCAGGGGCCTTTTCTGAGACTGATACTCCAGCCAAGGACTATGCATGGAGATAACCTAGAACCCCTGCTCAGATGTAGCCCATGGCAGCTCAGTATCCGAGTGGGCACCCTAGTAAGGGGAACAGGGACTGTCTCTGAGAGGAACACCGTGGCTGGCTCGTTGATCATCTCCCCATGAGGGCTAGGGAGCAGCCTTACCAGGCCACAGAGGAAGATAATGCAGACAGTCCTGATGAGACTTGATAGGCTACGGTCAGGTGGACTGGGGGAGGGGTATAGGAGGAGATGAAGGAGGAAACGTGGGATTGGGAGGGAATGAGGGAGGGGGCTACAGCTGGGATACAAAGTGAATAAATTGTAATAAATTAAAAATAAATTTTAAAATATTAAAAATTTTTTAAAAGAATGTTTTTTTGTGATCTGTCTTTTAGTCTGTCCAAAGTGGGTAAAACTTCGGAAAACCCACAATGAGAAGAAGTCTGTCCTGATGCTAATCCTCTGCAGTTCAGCTGTTCGAGCCCTGGAGCTCATCAGGTCAGTAGTGTCACCAGTTGTGTCTCCTGAGTGTTTTCTGGGGAAGTGTGTGCCAGCCTGTATGTTCTATGTGCAAAGAGTAAAACAGAGCCCCGCCCTGTGGGGTTGATGTTCTGTTGGGGAGGCTGACAACAAGCCGTAACTATGCATGACAATGTGCTCAATAGTGCTGCATTACGTAAGGAAAAATAAGGCATGGAAATGAGATGGACCTGGATGGGATTCTTTTTAAAAGGGATGACATTAGAGCGGAGACTTAAATGAAGTGGAGGACATAGCCACATAACCTTCTTGACTTGAAATCAGAGGTAGATTTCCAGGTATGCAGCAGTAGTCTGGAAGCAGGATGCTGTGGGAGGATTTGGGGTAGAGTGCTCTGAGTCATTGTAAATGCACACTCACACTGCTGTATGGAGAGGTAGATTGTGCAGGGCAAGGGGAAAAGCAGTGAGACCACACTGTCAAAAAAAAAAAAAAAACAGTAAACAAATGAAATGATATGACTCAAAATAGAAACAAGGAAAGGCAGAATACCAGAGACTAAACTTGCTAACCCTATATTAAGAAAACATAGCAAGGAAAAGCTCTTAAACAAATTCAGCTAGGTACCATGCTCTTGAGAGGGAAGATTCAACGTTGTTGGATGTGCCTGTTTTACTTAGGATCATCTATAAATTTCACACATTCTAAGTAAAACTACAAAAAAAAAATTGTTTTGTTTAACTAACAAAACTAATTTTAAACTTTTACAAAAACATACAACTAAAAATGACTAACAGAAGGTTATAAAGGACCATTTAGAAGAGGCCTGTGTCTTCTAGACTGCCAGTACCTGCATTGTAGCGTCTCAGCAGTTCAGAGCATTTGAGATTGTCACATTCAGGCCAGGCACATGGGATCAGTGGACCAGAATTGAAAGGGAAGAAACAGACCCAAGTGCATATGAAAACAGCATACAGAAAAGGTAACAAATAGTGAATCAGTGGAGGAAGCCGGATTATTCAACAACTGTGTTGAACAGCTGATTAGCCATCTGGAAAAATAAAGTTGGATGCATATCTCACCCCTTCTACCAAGATAAATTCCAAACAGACCAAAAATTTAAAGGGAAAAAAAAAATCTATACTAAAGGTAAGTTGGTGCTCTATTAAGTGCTTTCACAGGCATTTCCATTTGCTGAATTCTAGTAGAATAAACAAAAAAAAAAAAAAACTTCCACAGGATCTGTGTAACACTCAGCTTCCAGAGAACAGAGTAGCATGGCATTTACAGGAACAAGCTCTGTCTGGCAACCAGGCTTTGACAGGAGACAAAACAAAGGAAGTCTGTGTCTTGAAACAGGAGCTTTGTCAAGTACCCGAAGGTGCAAGTGTAGAGACTCCATGGTGATTTAACATCTGTTTTTCTAGATGAACTAATCGAATCATGGTTTTAAAAAAGTAGTTGTTAAACTTTACTGGTCCTTCAAACTCTGCTTTCTCCACCTCAGCACACACATTAAACCATATCCTACACTCTCCAGTAAAGCAAAATGTTCCTTTCAAGTACATCTGTTCCAAGCCTAATTGATCTTCAGTGCTCTAGTTTACCTGGGTAGCCATCTGTATTTGTTGGCCCTGAAATTAGAGCATTTCACACTGATTTTTCTGAGCTCTCAAAAGGACTACAACAGAACCTGCTGCAAACTGAGATGCTAATGGCAAAGAAGATGGCCTGCATGTGACCTCTTAAAAACAAGTTGTCATGTTGACTTGAGGTTTTACTGTATATAAATTCATTTCTAAAGGGCATAAAAGCACCGTGCTGTCACACTTCATTTACCAACTGTTCCAATATCTATTATGATCCATTTCAAGGTTTAATGAATGCAAAGTGTGGTCAGAACAGGCCCACGGAAGCCTAGTCACAAAGACCAATGTTTAATAATTCTATCATAAGGACTTCTGGTCTCTTGGCCGCCATAATTCCTGTTGTTTTCCTTGTTAACCTTGCAATGGAGAACGCCTATGTGTAACTAAGAACATACTTGCAATACAAACTGGATCACATGTTTCATTATCCTGCATATCAATATGTTTCTCCTAGTCAATACTATTCCTCAAAACATAATGACATGTAAAGGAAAGTAGTATCCCCCTCTAAAGTATAACTCTAAATCTTAACTTAAAACTTACTTGTTCACTATATCCATTCTTAACTCAAAACAGAAATTTAGGTGACATATAGAAATACACCACATGAACCAAGGTGATCAAAATGAAAACAAAAAGAACAGTAAACATCCGAAAATCCGATGAAGCCAGCTGGAGCTGGTGCTCATTGACCTCTTTCCATAAAGCCCTGCGGTTCTCTGTCTGGCTACCTCAACACCCCCAGGTGGCAGGCTGACTCACTGCTCTAAGATTTCTTCTTGTAACCAGTTTTTTTTTTTTTTCTTTTAGACATATTATGCAGAAATACATGGGAAATTCTCTACCATACACCCAAAACACAGAAATTCTGTTTAGAAAACTAAAGACACACGTGTTTGTATCACCAAAGAAGCCAAAGTAGGCTGAACTTGGGTTTGACTTAGAAGCACCCACATATGTACCTGAGCAAAAGGCTTCCCCTGTTTATGATTCTTTTATCTTTTTTGAGATCGTGTCTTGCTCTGTTGTCTAGACTGAGTAACATCTCACCACAATCCTCCTGCTCCAGCCTCTTGAGTGATTTCACACACATATCAATATGCCTGAAAGCCCCCTCCAATTTCACTTCAGATATAGGCTTGCCTAACGATCTTCTTGTGTCTAGATAGAAACATAAATGTACACATTTAGAACAGCCTTTTAGATGATAAACTATGATTTTTCAGTGAGTTCTTAAATGAGTAAATTGTCATAATCTACTAAATGCATTGATTAATTAATATATTCCTTTTATTAGGTCTCTGACAGCATTCAGAGGAGATGCCAAAGTCATGAAATTATTTGCAAAACACATAAAGGTAAGCAAGGGCCTGCAGTTCTGATCAGAGATGTAAGTGGTCCCTAATGGCATCCCAAGACTTCAGGCTTTCCATCTGACCTCTTCTAATTGTCCTAGAAATCGTTTTCTTTCATCCATTCCTGATATGACAGATCTAACAGCTATTTTTGTTTCCCCTGTATTTCGTGCCGCTACATGGCTGCTTTGGACCACTGCAGTCATGCTCTGCCATGCTCCATTCCTGAGCAGACACTGAGGGTGGATTCCCAATTCCTTGGGCATTGACCAATTTTCTTTAAAAAAAAAAAAATCTCTTCTTTGAAAGTTGGTCTCAGACAGGAGTGGCCCTGTTTGCTTTTTTGTTTTCTTTACATAGAAATAAAATGCTCTAAAGTGGCTTAATGTTTCTGTTGTTTCCTTCTTCTCATCCATCTCGGAAAGGTCCAGGAGCAGGTAAAGCTGCTGGAGAAGCGTGTGGTACACCTGGGTGTGGGGACTCCAGGGAGAATCAAAGAACTTGTTAAACAAGGTATGAAATGAGGATGGTGAGACTTCTGTTAATAGCTAGCCATGTTACCTTGCCCCCATGTGAATCCAAGGAAGCACATTGGAGGTACAAAAAGAGAAACAGGAGCAACAGAACCAGAAATTTGAACACAGGGGTCTTCCCAGAGACTCCTACTCCAACCAAGTACCATACATGGAGATAACCCACAACCCCTGCACAGATGTAGCCCATGGCAGTTCAGTGTCCAAGTGGGTTCCATAGTATTGGGAAGAGGGACTGCCTCTGACATGAACTGATTGGCCTGCTCTTTGATCACCCCCCCCCCGAGGGGGGAGCAGCCTTACCAGGCCACAGATGACAATGCAGCCACTCCTGATGAGATCTGATAGACTAAGATCAAAAGGAAGGAGAGGAGGACCTCCCCTATCAGTGGACTTGGGGAAGGGCATTCGTGAAGAAATGGGTGAGAGGGTGGGGTCTGGAGGGGAGGAGGGTGGGGCTTATGGGGGAATACAAAGTGAATAAAGTGTAATTAATTTAAAAAAATATTTAAAAAAAGAGAGAGAGAGAAACAGACCTCTGTGTAAATCGCCCAGTGAAACTCAACTCAGCCTTTCATCTCAGAAGCCAGCCAGCTTGCACAGTGCTGTGTGGAATGAGGACTGCGGCCCACTGGGATGCATTTGCCCAACTAAATACACTTAAGTTCCAGTGGCTGTGAGTAGCAAAGTGGGTCCAAACAAGCTTCCCCACCCATTACCTGGCCTTGGAACTGGTAGAGCCTGCTACGCTGAACGATTCCTTCTTGAGTAATTTGAGGCTTGGTTCTCAGAGACCCCCATTCTAGTTATAATGGGATACTAAGCACGCTGAAATGAAAACGTCATTTCTATAGATGAAAGAGGGATATTACAGAATATTCCCCAGAAGTACATTTCCTTTCTAGTGCTTTGCACAGTAAGGATTCCAGAAATCCTGGTGGGCTTTAAGAGTTTGCCAAATTTCTCAAGCCTGTTCAGGTCATCCTGTTACCTGTTCTTGCCAGACCTTTAGGTTTGGGGACTGTTTTAGGGTTGCGGAAGATTGAATCTAGGGCCTTACACATGCTAGGCAAGCTGTGTCACTGGCACTCTTTTTTCTTTATATTTTGAGTCAAAGTCTCACTAAGCTGCTTGGGCTACCTCTATCTTAGGGTCTTTATCCCTTAACCTGCAGGTTACACCTGAGCCTAGAAGCTGGTTCGCATTTATTGATTTCATTCTTCATTTTCAGATGACTTGGTATAGTAATGTGACTTCATCTTCTGTATAGATCTATTCCTGAATTATTTTGAATATGTCAAAGTAACACCTTCAGCAACATCTAAAACTCTTGGCATCCTCCCCAGATGGCAATAATGAACAGCTAGTTAAACTCACTGATTGCACCTTCTGTTCAAAAGACTAGGAATTAGGACCTGGAGGTCTCTGTTAGGGACCAGAAATCGGCATTTTTTAAATTCCTTCTGGTAATTGGTATTATACTAGACAGCCTTTGTGTATGCTATCTGACTAGTACCTACAGCATGCTTACAAGCCAGCATCCTTACTGAGAGAAAACAGAGCCTCAGGAAAGATGAGTGACACCTCCCAAGGTTTTAGGCCAGATCTTCTTAGTTTCAGAGCCTTTTTCCCTCAAGGGGTTCCTTGAAACTGTGTATTTGTCTTGTGCACATAGGAAAGCATTGGAATTAGGAAGCAGATGTTAGATACCAAGCCTGGGCCTTCTAAGGGACATTATTTGGGGAGACTGCATCGGTGTCAGGAGAGGCCAAGAAGAAATTCTCTGGTTGGTCTCCCCATCCCATACAACTCTCAGTTAAAGATGCAGCTCACCCCTCCAGGACCATGACTTTTTCTGTGTGGCCAGTCCCCCCACCACCTAGAAAAAAGGCCCTTTTTAGATTAAAAATAGAAGCAGAGAGGAATATGAGGTTTCTTACAGAAAAATAGTGTTAAGGAGCTGTTGACTTTTTATGTGAGATTAATGAAAGTGTTTACTTCTGAATCTGATTGAATAGATATTTTTAAATAGTTAGCCATAGTGTTAGGAACATGTAAGGTGTTTATAAAATAGCCCCATCCTGGGAACTGAGGTTCTGTCAAAGCTAGAGTGGTGTCCCATAACTCATTTTATACTACTGACTATGATTTATATGATGCTTATATGTTCAGTATGTAAGCAGAGTTTCCAGATAAGAAAAGAGATCCCATGATACTGGGATCTGTAAAACTATCTTCAGGATAGTGGTGTTTGGTGTTTTAATTTAGCAATTAAGTAGCTTTTCTGACTTTGAGGCTGTGAGAAATGCATGGAGATACAGAGGAGGTGGCTGAGATAGCAAAGTGAGGAAAGGTGCCTGCCACCAGCCTGGGGTCCTGAAATTGATGCCTGGACCACATAAGGTGGGAGGAAGGACTGACTCCTCAAAGTTTCCTTTACCCTTCACATTCTCACCGTAGCATCCAGGCCCTCACACAACACACATGCATATGCTAAATAAATGTAATCTTAAAAAATAAAGATATGGATAACAAAATGTGCATGAAAATGCCAATAAAAACTTTAGAGATAATTTCTTGTTAATTACAATAAATATACTACCTTTCAGTCTTGTTTCTATACAAGTATATTTTTTATGAAGCAGAAATCTTATAACCTCTCACATGTATGTATATACATATGAGAGACTTTATATTATAAATAAAATATATGTGCCATATATATGGTGTATATATGTATATGCCTTATGAGGACTTTCCTTCTCAGGAAATGTATTTACTTCTCATTTGTAATATCTATGTAGTATGTGGTTTGTCTTTTAGCATACAATACTTGGATTTCATTCAGATTTTTTAATTATGCATAAAACAGTGATCATTGATGCAAGTAGCTTTAAGCTTCTGGTAGTGTTTTAACTGGGACATCACAGAAGAAAAGCTATTTAGTCAATGCGTATAAAGCTGTGGGTAAAGGTGGTTCCATTTAAGAGGGAGCTTCCCTTTTTGCTTTCTCCAACACTGAGTCTCTTTTAAAGGAGGATTATCAACTCGTTATCTTTTCTCAATGTCCCATCGTAATTCCAGTGAAACTGTTTAAGTAAAAGGTATTATAATTGTAAGAGACATGAAAAGTCTCTTCTGAACAGGGAAAGTGTGTGGGGAATGGCTGCCAGTGGAGAAGCTTCCGGGACTGTTTCCAGGCAAGGCATGCAAGACCTTAGAACAGTGGCAAGAGCTGAATTTGTGCCTGCCTCTTAGGACCTAGGGAACAAACACTCCCTGGGTCTTCTCCAGTCTTCCTGTGCAATAATCCTAGGTCGTGCAGGCAGCAGAGTGGGTGCGATCCTTACATGATTTACCAGCCAGCCCCATCAAAAGGTAGCCCGACCTCATCCCTCTCCCCACTGCCTCAGAGTCAGGCAGCCTCTACTGCTTTCATCTCCTCTGAAGGCCACAGGAAACAGCTTCTCAAATCCCAGGGGTCAGGAGGGAGACCCCAGCCTCTGGCCTTCAGGAATGGAGGGCTGAGCAACTGAGGGCCTAACCAGAGTGGCTTCTCTGTCCTCAGAAGCCGTGATAACGCTGCTGCATGTGTTTCCCATCAGGCAAGCATCAGCGTGGGGAGGGTCATGGCTGGGGGGAGGACAGCAAGTGAGGCATTCGGGAGGAGGATGAAAACCATTTTAATAAGCTTACGTCGTGAGGCCTTTACTACCCGGACTCTCACTGTGTCTTTCAGATGGCCTTAATTTGAACCCCTTAAAGTTTCTGGTTTTTGACTGGAACTGGAGAGATCAGAAGCTAAGGAGAATGATGGACATTCCCGAGGTACTGTGTAATCATCAGTTGTCTTTAATCTTTTTTTTTTTCCCAATTTGAACTTGGAGTTCAAACACAGTAATAAAGTCTTTGACATGGGGAGCCAGCACATTCTCGCTTTGGAAATAATTTCTGTCTTTAACGCTGAGGTAACTACTCTGAGCCATCTCATCCGCTTACACATAACTATATCCTTTCCATGTGTAATATAGAATCAGCTTGGTTGCTCACTAAATGACCATGGCTCCTGCCCCACTAGGACATCTGTACTTCAAAGAAGCCAGATGATCTGGAGGACTTGCCCTTTTCCTGCACCTCTCATCACAGACACAGTCATCCTTGCCATTCCTTCTTATATAGACATATCTGGCCAAAGACGGGGAAGAGAGGGTACATCATTGCTGGCTTCTCCACTTCCCCACAAAACCTGCTTACAGAATCTACAAAGACGCTTTCGTTTCATGTGGAGGGTTTGTGCGTCTCCTTAGATTCAGACTGAATGACTGAATGCCTTTGTGGGCACAGCACAGCTTGCTGTGTATTTATGAAAAATAGTTCACTGCCCTCATAATGTAGAAATCTTTATTTTGCCATCCACCATGTTATTATGGAACAATTTTTCAATCTAATCTGATATGTGTGTGCGGGGGGCTATATAATAATGAATAAGGCAAGCCTGTCAGTCACCTACTGGGACTAAAGCATGGCAGTAACTGCCCAAAAGCCTTGGGATTACGGTTTTAAAACATGCCGTGGGTTAATTTACCACATACAACTGCCTCCCCAGACTGAACAAAGTTCATTATGATTGATTGGTGAGTTATATTTGGCATCAATTCAACTTAAAAAAACATTGACTTAGTTTCCTATGTATGACCCACGTGTGCACGCACACTCGCACACACACTCTGCCTCCATGAATAATCTTTGGAAAAAAAAAAACTAGTTAGCTGTCAGACACATGAGGCCAGATTTGATGGCTTCTATTATATCAAGTTTGAGTAGTCCACTATAACAATGTCAAAAATGTGTCATCATAGATATTTCCATTATGTCCGTGTCATTAACAATTATCACAAGGCAGTCAGACCTATACTGGATCTTTGTGTGAAACCTGGATTAAAAAAAGCACACTTGGGAGTCCTTGAACTTTTTCTTTTGCACAGATGCAAACATAAAGGCACTTTAAGGAAACTGATGTTTTACACAATACCTCTCTCTTCCTTTACTTACGTGACCTTCAGCTCTGAATCAAGCATGGATTCAGCCTTCTGGATAGGCCTTTTGCCCTCTCTGGTTCTGGTCACTTCAGCTGTATAAACACACGGGACACCGGGTGTTGCCTTCTTCCACCAGGACTATTTTTTGTTTAATCATACCCTTTCTGTTTTGTTCTTTTCTCGCATTTAGATAAGAAAGGAGGTTTTTGAGCTTCTAGATATGGGAGTGTTCAGCCTATGCAAGTCAGACTCCTTGAAGCTGGGTCTTTTCTAAGCCTGGTCCTGAGGAAGAGTCCAGCGCCAATATATTGCAAGTGCTCACAAGCCACTGTGATATAATTGCGTTATCTGCATCACCCAGAGGATCACTGAAAATGCACAGGGACTCTCGACAGCTGTGAACCTGTCCTTTGGCTCATACCCTCAAACAATAAAGCTCTGCCTGTGTGTGTCATCTTGTTGAACAGACGGAGTCTTTCTTTCTCCTCTCCTTTGACCGTGCAGGAAACAGCAGTTGAGAACCTGAGCCACTTCCCTCTCTGAGCTTCAGTCTTGTGGGCTGCAAAGTAGGAATGCCATCTCACAAAACTGTCAAGGAGACTGTGAAATGGTGCTCAGGGAGCAGGTTGGTAAACTGATGTCTGACGGCTGGAGCTGGAGCTCAGAAATAGACTTCCCACAGGTGGTTATGGACACCAGAATCCTCACTATCACCACCAGGAGAAGGCTCCAAGTCTTAAATGCTCTCACTGGCCTGGGATGAGTCCCCGTTCCCTCATTTCTGATTGGTCAGGTTAGACAAATGAAAGTGAGCTACTGTGCTCACAGTCCTGGTCAGCAGCTCAGCTGAGAAGGAAGTCTGTTGGGTCTTTGTCCTAGCTGAAAACTAAGTCAGAAGTACAGCTTCTTGTTACTTACATTCTTTTTTTCACATTTCTATGCCCCTTCTCTATTCCCTCATGGGAAACATAGTCTCAGCACACAGCATGGCCAACAAAACCAGGAAGAGCAAATATACCTGGTTCAGGCAGATATAAATACAGCAGCCTTATTCATTTACATGTTTTGACCTTTTAATTTGAAGTGATTTTCAATGTGCACAATTTTTGCAAAAACAATGTAGATGATTCCCACATCTCCTTCCCCAGGTTCTGCCAACGTTACCATCTTATTTACGCAACGCACAGGTATACCAAAACTGACACACCAACATCAGCACAGTTAAACGAACTGTAGCCGTCACTCTTGACTTCACAGGTTTTTCCTCGGATGGCTTCTTTGTAGCCCAGGACCTAGGGGAGGATCATGATGCACTTGCTCTTCTTCCTTACGATGACAACGTCTCATTCTCCATTTCTCCCGTGATGTCACATGACAAGTGTTATCATTCCTTTTGTACACTATCTTGAATTCCAATTTGACTATATCATAGCTTGAGGTTTTGTAGGGTTTGGTCAGACCCACAGTGGTGGTATGTCCACTGTGTCATATCAGGGGGTGCATAATGTTACTGTGTCCTAGTACCAGTGACAGCAGCCTTGCACAGCAGGTGAAGCTGGTCCCTGCCCCTCCCTCCATGGTAGAAGTATGCGCCGTTTTTCCCGCGAGGTCAATATCTACTTGGAAGAGTTAAAGATGTGCAGGTATCTTTTTCAAGCCACCGGTCATTTTTAGCAGCCATGGATTTATTACTGCAGCAATCATTACTGTAGTAACTTTTCTATTCTTTCATTCTTTTGCTCTCTATTGGAATCCTCATGAAAAGGAACTTTCCTTTTTCTTAGTTCCCTGTTTAGTTATTACCTACACTAATGAGGACACAGCATTGTAGTACATTACTATTTTTACTTTGTTGTTCAATTTCTTCTGCTTGGTTTGTTTTGTTTTTGAGTGAAGGTTTCCCCGCGTAGCCCTGGCTGTCCTGGGACTCCTCTGTAGATCAGGCTGGTCTCAAACTCGGAGATCCCCCAGACTCTGCTTCGTTAGTGCTGGGATTAAAGGCCCGGACCACCATGCATGGCTACTGCTCAAATTTTTGTCACTCTTACCATGTTGGTTGATAATCCACTGTGTCAAGCACTGTGTGTGCAACTCGTGTTTATTGCCTGCTTCATCACTGACACAGTGCTAAAAGAAAAGTGCTATTCACACTCTTAATCCATTTTCTGTTATTTTGAGATGAGCTCTCACTGGGTATTCCTTGGCTGTCCTGGAACCCACTATATAAACCAGACTGGCCTCAAAACCTCAGAGATCTACTCCGCACATGCTGGAATTGAAGCACATACCACTATGTCCAGTTCTTACTCATATTTTTTAGACAATCTCACAAAGAACACGCACAGTTCAAGTAGTAAAAAATGGAAGTCAAGTTCAGGACTTTCGGGAGTTCAAGCTGTCCTTTTGGAAACAAGCATGCAGCAAACAATAATAAAAATAATAAGGGAAGCAGATGCTATCGATGATAAATTTCATGTTCTAATTATTCAAGTTAAAGAGGTTGCAAACACAATCCAGCAAACCACACACTCCTGCGCCCTAGAGAGCAGCGCTCAGAAGACAGGAGTGCCGGCCATCTTCAAAGATCCTGATTGGAGCCCATTGATGAAAAGAGAAAGGAGAGCTGCTATGGAAATGGAAATTCAAACTATGAAATTATGTTATGGCCAAACCCAACCCTGTCATTCTTACTCTTTTAATGCCGACAAGTGAGATTTTTCTTAGCCAATAGTAAGCAAAATAGATTACATACCTTCCTAATCCAGAGGTGTAACTCTGTGTCAAGTGGCATGTCTTAGATAATGTAGAAAAATATAGACCAGGCATTTCATATGAAGACATTGCAGACTAAGTGTGCCAAATTTCAGAACAATCCACTCTCATTTGCCCTTAAAACTAAGACCATTGTGAACAGTGCACACATAATCATAGCCGTACTTACTATGTTTGCATTCCTGCAGGTGATGTAAAAAGACAATTAGCTATTGGCTAGAGAGTGCTGTGACGTCCTTCAGACATTACCAGAACACCTGTGCTGACTGTCCATGAACTTAGAGAGTCATTACAAGGATTCCAGCCACTCCTTTCTGTTCCCAACTCCCATCTGTATGTAATTCTGCCCCAACCACATGCAGTTTTCGGAGTTACTAAGACATATAGCAGGTAGACCGTTTCCTGAAAGGTGGATGCCACCTGTGCAGCTGTGACAGACTTGTCATCCCTGCTAGGATGAGATTTAAGCAGTGTGGTGGTTTGGGGTGTCAGTGACCCCATCTTCTTGCAAGCCCAATAAGCTCATCGATTCAATAAAGTACACTGCATCAGAATCATTTGGACTGCCATTGGTTCTCTGTCTTCAGTGAGTAGACGTGTTCACAGCCCCTTTTAAATAGTGTGCAGACCAGAATCTCACACCATGGTTACAGAAAAATAAGGACAAGGGTTTTTAAAAGAAAATCCCTTGAGCCAGATGTGGTGGTGCACACCTTTGATCTCAGCACTCTGGAGGTAGAGGCAGGCCATCTCTGTGAGGTTCTTGGACAACCTGCTTTACCAAGAGAGTTCCAGGGCAGCCAATACCACACAGAGAAACTCTGTCTCAGAAAAAAAAAAAAAAAAAAAAAAAAAAAAAATCCAAAAGGGTGGGGGAGGGGAGCATAGCAAGAAAGAAAAGAAAAATGAAAATCTTTCTCCAGTTTTTCTAGTGATACCGCCACTACTAGCACATAGGTGTCAGTCGGAATGATGTTTCTTAGACAGGCAATTTCCCCCCTTAGGGAACGTTTGCAGTGCTTAAATTATGTTTGAGCTGCACAACAATGGGGCAAGAGGCTACTTGCTATCGGCCTTCAGTGGGAGCTGTACCTGACCCTTAGCAGGTAGAAGTCAGGGACGCAGCTAACTATGCTGTGCCACAGCAGATTCCCAGTTGCCAATAGTATAGTAGAGGATTTGTTTATTAAGGAGCAAAGCATATGACGTGTAAGTTGTATTATTTAGAATTGCATTTGAGACCCACTCTATGAGCTCCAACTCAGGTCCTAGCAGAAACCTACTACTGTTATTCTTCTAAAGGAACATAGGAATAAAATGACTCCTAATAACATACGGCTGTACCCATAGACCAGTGCCTCACTCGACCCTCAGCAGAGGAGATTCTTTTTGCAGTAGACGGTAGGTAACAGAGACCCACAGATGGAGACTGTGCAGACCGTGAGAGACTTTGGAGCACTCAGTGCTGAGTGAGACATCAACTCCTCCCCTCGAAGCTCAAGGATCTATTTATGGGGAAGAGGATCCAGAAAGACCAGAGGTGGTGGACAACTCCAAGGAGGCAGCATCTTCTAGACACAACAGGGGTGGAACGCAGAGGAACTCACAGAGCCTGTGATAGCATGTGCAAGACTTAAGTTCAAACCAGTTTTTGTTTTGTTTTGTTTGAGAGAATGAGATTGAATGGGTAGGACGGGGAGAAGGAGTTGAGGGAACTTAAGAATATGATCAAAATAATATGATGTGACTAAAATCTATAGTCCTAAAGAAGCTAAAGAGCAAGGAGGACCCTAGGGATGAGATTTAATCCTCATTCAGAAGGACAAAGAGGATAGACATCAGAAGTAGGAGAAGATAAGGAATGGGACAGGAGCCTTCCATAGAGAACCTCTGAAAGACTCTACCCACCAGGGTATTGAAGGAGATACTGAGACTCACAGCCAAACTTTGGACAGAGTGCCAGAATCCTAATGGAAGAAGAGGGAGCTACAAAGACCTGGAGGAGTCAGGATCTCCACAAGGAGAAAAACAGAGCCCAAATACCTGAGCCCAGGGGAGCCTGTAGAGACTAATACTCCAACTAAGGACTATGCATGGAGAGGACCTAGACCCCCGTTCAAAGGAAGCCTATAGTTTCCAAGTAGGTTCCTAATAAGGGGAACAGAGGCTGTCTCTGACATGAACTTAGTGGCTGGTTCTTTGATCACCTCCCCCTGGAGGGTACAGCCTTGCCAGGCCACAGAGGAAGATGATGCAGCCAGCCTTGATGAAACCTGATAAGCTAGGGTCAGATAGAAGGGGAGGAGGTCCTCTCCTATCAGGGGACTAGGAAAAAAGCATTGGAGGAAGAGGTAGGGTAGTTGGAACTGGGAAGAGAAGAGGGAAGGGACTGCAAGGGTATACCAAGTTAATAAATTGTAATAAATTAATAAATAAAATAAAATTTAAAATGTGAAAAAAATAAAAGATCAAAAGTTTAGAAAAAAGTGAATTTGATAGGTGGCTATAAAACGTATATCTGGTTATCTCTCTTAAGAATATTGCCCCAGAAGTGTTCACACTTACTGCCTATGATGACGTGTTTTATACTGTGTCAACATGGCCGAATCACATGGTGCCAGAGAGTTGATGAGGCATTTTTCTGTGAGGTTGTCTGTGATGATGCTAACATTTGATTCATTG